CTACACAACTGTCTCCCATATGTAGAGGGTGTAGTCTGGTCCCATGCAGGTTCCACAGCTGTTGGACTAAAGTTCATGAGTTCCTTTGAGCTTGGTTCAGTTGTCTCTGTAGATTTCCCCATTATGATCTTGACCACCCCCTCTTGCTCATATAATCCCTCTTCCCTCTCTTCATCCAGACTCCCAGAGCTCGGCCTGGTGCATGGTTGTGGATCTCTGCATCTGCTTCCACCAGTTACTGGATGAAGGGTCTATGATGATGGTTAGGGTATTCACCAATCTGATTACCAGGGTAGGCCAGTTCAGGCCCCCTCACCACTGTTGCTAGTAGTCTAATTTGGAGTCGTCCTTGTAGATTCCTGGGAATTCCCTAGCTCTAGGTTTCTCCCTTACCCCATAAAGTCTCCCTCTATCAAGATATCTCTTTCATTGCTCTCCCACTCCATGCCTCCCCCAGCTCGACCACCCTGTCCCATTATATTCTCATCCCCCATCCTCTATTGTCCCCCCATCCCAAGTTTACTCATCAGGATCTCCTCTGTTTCCCCTTCCCAATGTGATTCGTATATCCCTCTTAGTGTCTTCCTTTGTTTCCTAACTTCTCTGGAGCTGTGGGGGTATAGTCTGATTATCCATTGCTTTACATCTAGTATCCACTTATGAGTGAGTACATACTATGTTTGTCTTTCTGAGTCTGGATTACCTCACTCAGGATGATATTTTCTATTTCCATCCATTTGCCTGCAAACTTCATGATTTCATTGTTTATTACAGCCGAGTAATACTCCATTGTGTATATGTACCACATTTTCTTTATCCATTCTTTGATTGAGGGGCATCTAGGTTGTTTCCAGGTTCTGGCTATTACGAATAATGCTGCTGTGAACATAGTTGAGCAAATGTCCTTGTGGTATGCTTTAGCATCCCTTGGGTATATGCCCAAGAATGGCATTATTGGGTCTTAAGATAGATTGATTCCCAATTTTCTGAGAAGCTGCCATACTGATTTCCAAAGTAGCTGTACAAGTTTGCACTCCCACCAACAGTGGAGGAGTGTTCCCCTTGTTCACATCCTCTCCAACATAAGCTGTCATCAGTGTTTTTGATCTTAACCATTATGACAGGTGTAAGATGGTATCTCAGTGTCACTTTGATTTGCATTTCCCTGATGACTAAGGATGTTGAGCAATTCCTTAAAAGTCTTTCAGCCATTTGGGATTCTTCTGTTGAGAATCCTCTGTTTACATCTGTAGCCCATTTTTTAATTGGATTATTTGGTATTTTGATGTCTAGTTTCTTTAGTTCTTTATACATTTTGGAGATCAGCCCTCTGTTAGATATAGGGTTGATGAAGATCTTTTCCCATTCTGTAGGCTGTCATTTTGTCTTGTTTACTGTGTCCTTTGCCTTATAGAAGCTTCTCATTTTTAGGAGGTGCCATTTATTAATTGTTGCTCTCAGTGTCTATGCTACTAGTGTTATTTTTTGGAAGTGATCTCCTGTGCCAATGCTTTCTAGGGTGCTTTCTACTTTTTCTTCTGTCAGGTTCAGGGTAGCTGGATTTATGTTGAGGTCTTAGATCCACTTGGATTTGATTTTGTGAATGGTGATATGGATCTATTTACAATCTTCTACACGTTGACATCCAGTTATGCCAGCACCATTAATTGAAGATGTTTTCTTTTTTTCCATTGTACAGTTTTGGCTTTTTTTGTCAAAAAATCAAGTGTTCATAGGATGTGGATTAATGTCAGTATCTTCAGTTCGATTCCATTGGTCCACATGTTGGTTTTTATTTCAATACCAAGCTGTTATTACTACTATAGCTCTATCATAGAGTTTGAAGTTAGGGCTGATGATGCTTCCAGAAATTGCTTTATTGTAAAGGATTGTTTTAGATATCCTAGGTTTTCTGCTTTTCCATATGAAGTTGAGTACTATTCTTTTGAGGTCTGCAAAGAATTGTGTTGGGATTTTGATGGGGATTGCATTGAATCTGTAGATTGCTTTTGGTAAAATTGCCATTTTTATTATGTTGGTTCTACCTATCCATGAGCATGGGAGATCTTTCCATTTTTTGATATATTCTTCAATTTTTTTCTTCAAGGACTTAAATTTCCTGTCATATAGGTCTTTCTCTTGATTGGTTACAGTTACCCCACGGTATTTTATATTATTTGTGGCTGTTGTAAAGGGTGATGTTTCCCTGATATCTTTCTTGGCCCATTTATCATTTATGTATAGGAGGGCTACTGATTTTTTTGAGTTAATCTTGTATCCTGCCATATTACTGAAGGTGTTTATCAGTTGTAGGAGTTCCCCTGGTAGAATTTTTGGGGTCACAAAAATTGTGACCATATTTAATCTATAATGGGTGGAATGTTCTGTAGATTTCTATTAAGTCCATTTGAATCACAACGTCTGTTAGTTCCCTTATTTCTCTGTTAAGTTTCTGTCTGGCAGACCTATCCATTGGTGAGAGTGGGGAATTGAAGTCTCCCACTATTAGTGTGTGGTGTTTGATGTGCTATTTAAGCTTCAGTAATGTTTCTTTTACATACATGGGTGCCCTTGTATTTAGGGCATAAATGTTCAGAATTGAGACTTCATCTTGATGAATTTTTCCTGTGATGAATATGTAATGTCCTTCTTCATCTCTTTTGATTAATTTAATTTGAAGTCTATTTTGTTAGATATTGGATAGCTACACCATCTTGCTTCTTAAGTCCATTTGACTCAGAAGACTTTTCCCAGCCCTTTAATCTGAGGTAATGTTTGTCTTTAAAGCTGAGGTGTTATATGCAATAGAAGGATGAATTCTGTTTTTGTATCCATTCTGTTAGCCTGTGTCTAACACAGGCAAATTGAGTCCATTGATATTAAGGGATATTAATGACCAGTGATTGTTAATTCCTGTTATTTTTTGGTGGTAGTGTTGTGTTTCCTTTCTTTGAGATTTGTTGTCATAGGATTATTCATTGCCTGTGTCTTCATGGATGCATCTAAATTCCTTAGGTTGGATTTTTCCTTCTAGTGATTTCTATAGGGCTGGATTTGTGGATAGGTATTGTTTAAATCTAGTTTTATAATGGAATATTTTGTTTACTCTGTCAATTGTGAGTTTTGCTGGGTATAATAGTCTGGGCTGGCGTCCATTTTCTCTTAGTGTCTGCATAATGTCTGTCCATGACCTTCTGGCTTTCAGAGTCTCTATTGAGAAGTCAAGTGTTATTCTGATGGGTCTGCCTTTATATGTTACTTGGCACTTTTTCCTTTGTAGTTCAATATTTTTTCTTTATTCTGTATGTTCAGTGGTTTGATTAGTATGTGGCAAGGGGACTTCTTTTTTGGGTCCAGCCTATTTGGTGTTCTGTAACCTTCTTGTATCTTCATAGGTATTTTCTGCTTTAGGTTGGGAAATTTTTCTTCTATAGTTTTGTTGAATATATTTTCTGTGCCTTTGAGTTGGTATTCTTCTTCTTCTATCCCTATTATTCTTAGGTTTGGCTTTTTCATAGTGTCCCAGATTTCCTAGACATTTTATGTTATGACTTTTTGGCTTTAGTATTTTATTTGACTGACAAAACTATTTCCTCTGTTGTATCCTCCATGCCAGAAATTCTTTCTTCCATCTCTTGTATTCTGTTGGTTATGCTTGCATCTGTAGTTCCTGTTCATTTATTCAGATTTTCTATTTCCAGCATTTCCTTGGTTTGTGTCTTCTTCATTATTTCTATTTTAGTTTTCAGGTCTTGAACTATTCCCTCCATCTGCTTAATTACTTTTTCTTTTCTTTTCTTTTTCCTTTTCTTTTCTTTTCTTTTTGGCTTTCTTTAAGGGACTTATTGATTTCTTTCAATTTTTTTGTTTGCCTTTTCCTCAATTTCTTTAAGGGAATTTTTCATTTCCTCTTTAAAGACTTCTATCATCTTCTTAAGGTCATTTTTAAGGTCATTTTCTTTTGTTTATTCTATGTTGGGATGTTCAGGTCTTGCTGATGTAGAACCACTAGTTTCTGGTGGTGCCATATTGCTCTTTAAGTTGTTGAATGTATTCTTGCAATAGCATGTACCCATCTCTTCCTCCAATGGTGTCTGTGTCTCAGGGAGCTGCTCTTGGTCCAATTGGAGCTGGCAGAGTCTGTCTCAGGAGCAGCTGTGGTCTCAGCGGATGGGTGGGCTTGGGGAGTGGATTGGAGCTTGTAGGTTACAGGTTAGGAGGAGGGTTGGTGATCTGGCCTTCCTGCCTGCTGGCCTGCAACTGGGGCTATAATGAGTAGGGCTTGGGGGCACTGGTTGTACCCCTGGACCTGAAACCTAGAGGCCAACTGGAGCTGGCAGAGTTTGTGTCTCAGGGAGCAGCTGCGGTCTCAGAGGGTGGGTGGGTTTGAGGGGTGGATTGGGGCTTGTATGTTACAGGGTCCAGTGGGGGATGGTGGTTGTCGGTCTGCCTCCAGGAGTTCTGCCTGCTGGCCAGCCACTGGTTGGACTCCTGGGCCTAAAGCCTAGAGGCTGGGGTGATCAGCTAGGAGAACAAAGACTCACCTCTTGGTCCAATTGGAACTCACAGAGTCTGTGTCTCTGGGAGCAGCTGTGGTCTTGGAGGATGGGTGGGTTTGGGGGTGCATTGGGGCTTGTAAGTTACAGGATCTCAGTGGGCCATTTTACAGTTTCAAAGCATACAATTCAATGCCAGATGCAAATCTAAAATTTGTGCATGGTAAGCGTTTTTCTACCTGCTTTTAAACTTCTATGTCATAAAGTTTCTCAGTAAATAGAAGAAGCTGGTATAGTGATTTGAGAATGGAGCTGCTTAGCTTAAGAGTAACAAAATATAGGGGAGTGATTTTTCATTTACTAGATATGCCTGCTTATTTTTTATCTTTTATCATTAGCTATAACATTCAAGCTATTGACTTAGAAACATGACAGTTTTGATATCAATATTAGGGCCATCCACAGGCAGAAATGTGTTCATTAATAAAGATTGTTTCATACCAGGAGTTTGTGCGCCTCACCGTTTCTGATGTTCTGACCACTTATGTTACGATCCTCATCGGTGACTTCCTCAGAGCGTGCTTCGTGAGGTTTTGCAATTACTGCTGGTGCTGGGATTTGGAATACGGATATGTAAGTATGGTGCTGACTTCTCCTTTATCAGATTTCTCTTCTGTGAGTCATTGTTTACACACACTACACAAGTGGAAGGGTGCCTCAGAGTTACATGAGTGAGGTCACCTTGTGAGATGTCAATAAACAAAGATTCATCAATATAGTTATTTGTAATGATTCTTTCTCTGTCCTGCCAGTCAGCTCCCAAATAACGACATGGAGACTTCTTATTAATTATAAAAGCTCAGCCTATAGCTTAGGCTTGTTCCTAACTAGCTCTTATAACTTAAATTAACCCATTTATTTTAATCTATATTTTATCATGTGACATTGCCCCTCTTCCATCTTGTACCTCCTGTTTCCTCCTCATGTCTTTTGGTGTCTATTCCCACCTGGATTTCTCCTCCTCCTTTCTCTATCTGCCTGGAAGTCCCACCTATCCTCCCTCTCTAGCTATTGGCCATTTAGCTTTTTATTAAACCAATCACAGTGACACATCCTTATACAGTGTAATCAAATATTTCACAACAGTTATAATTCAGAAGAGCCCAGATTTGGGTATCATGGTTTCCAATACTGAAGTAAAGTTAGCTCTGGCTCTTGAAAGTAATGGCCCTTGAACTGTCAATTAAAATGTTGTAGGAATCCTTAGTCCCATGGTCAGTTTCCTTCCCATGAAGCAAGTTGGTACTGATACAAGATTGGTATAAACTGTGTACTCTTTATATCCCTGTGAATTTTGCTGTAGGACTGGATAATTATCACGCACCAGTTACTATGTAGTACACGAGGGGATGAAAGGACTCAGTGAATATGGCTTTTGCTTTATGAGGCTCACAGACTAACAGGAGCCTGACAGAGACAACAGTGGGGGACTATGGAGATTTAAGGAAGACCTAGTTTGCTGACAGGGCTTTGATTAAATGGAGCTCAGGGGCAGCCTGCAACAATTGCAGAGACTTCTCTGAATCTCTCTGGTGTTGACTTTATCACCAGCTTTTCCTCTATGCCCAACTTAAAATCTTCCTCAATCTTCAGGGAAGTGCAGAGCATACATGGTTCTTGGTCTAACATGTCAACAGGTCTCTGTTGCCCTCTTGTATAAGTAAAACTGGTTTTGGTTAATCTTTAGAGATAGGAGTCACAGAAGTGATGGTACCCCTGTGTTTAAGCCCTCCATGGCTTCGTGAGCACCCCTAATGTGCCCCAGAGACCTTTGCAGGGCGCTCTCTTAAACACTTTGCTTCTTTTCTTTCTGTCTTAGCCTAGTTGCTGTATTCTAATTTTCACAAATATGGACTTTTAAAATTTTCAGTCACAAAAGGATTTTTTCATTTGCACTTACTATTTCTCCCTCAAAGGGATGCTGCTACCCTAGAACTGGGCATGAGCACTTCCTTCTTGTCACTAAGCATCCCTTCAGCATGTCACCTCCTCAGAGTTCTTCTCTGACCACCATTTAAACATAGCCCATCTAATGCTATGGCAGCTTACAGTTTGGTTTTATGAACAAGATGTACAACTACTTGACATTTCTTTGTAAACTGCCTATTATTCATCTTCTTCTACAGTGAGGCATCTATGAAAAAACAAATGTCTGTTGTTTGAGCCAGGCTAGCCACATGGCAAATGCTCTCTGTTGACTGTGTGGTTGAACTTGTACCACCACATCATGCTACCACCAGGGCAGCAGTAGCAGCTGGAAGAACTTGTCCTCTTTGTCGGCTGGTTCTACATTATTCTGGTTGTGTGTTCTAAGACAGCAATGTTTCTCTTCCCACCAGTGAAGAAATATTCTGCTAGGTGATCTCACTTCCACCTCATGTTTTCTTGTATATAGACGAAGCCCACATTTAAGATTCTGGGCTACATCTTTTGGCTATCTGACTTTGAGACAGTACCTTTTATTAGATCATCTCTGTCACCATCACTTAAGGTGCCCCCTTGGATGAGGCAAATGCAGTTAGGTAATGTCCTCTGGTACACAGCTGTGAGGTAATGCAGCAGATCCCGGATGTCCCTGTGCAGCTTTCCTATTGCTTGCTATGAGGTATTCGTCTGGCTTGGATTCATTTCTATTTTACATGCCTGATTCAGCTCTTCTGAGGCAGACATAAAAATTGCCATCTCTTTCTTAGATCATGGCTTGTCTTTTGTTTGCCTTTTATCCCTAGCTGCTTTCTTCTTAAGTGGTAGAAAAGTTGACTATGAATATGAAGTCAATATAGCATGACCTGGATGCATAAAAGCTGTAATTAAATGACTGTAATTTATTATTTATTGAGTGCTGACAGAGCTCTTGGGTTAGTACAAAGTGCAGGAAACAAGTTTCTGTTTTTAAGTCATAAAGAAAGAATTTTCTCTCATTTTACCTTTGGAAGGTTCTTTGAAGGAAAACTCAGAATCAAAACAAGTTATAAAATGTTAATGTTGGATGATGTGTTTTTTTGTGGATCATATCATCCTGCCAATTGTCTGACTAACTTCCTTGGAAGCCTGCTGGTACTGGCCACTATGAGCAAACTCATACAAGGTGCTGAGGAGCATAGAGATGAGGAAGCTGGAGCCCAGAGAGGATGCAACTTAGACCTGAAGTCTTGATTTTAATTTGCCTGCCCAGTGTTTGGACATTTTTAATGAGCTAATACTTTTAAAACTTGGAACTTCTACATAATACATTTTCTTTGTTGACATGTTAGAAAAGCTGGTCCTATTAGACTCGTATTCCCAATCGGGAAGACATATGCAGAAACTCCCACCTTCAACCATTAGCATATTCATCCTTCAATTCTTCAAACACCACTACCCTTACACTTTGCAAACTGTAAGAATCAAGAAGGGCACACAAGGTAAAAAACAAAGGACAGATCAATTGTTCTCAGACATTGGTGTGTATGTGTGGGATGACAGAAAATGAGAGAGGTGGGTATACTTGGAGAAGGAGACGTTTGAGTAGATCTTATGGGATGAATGGGATTCCGAGAGGCGAAGAAGACATTCCCTGAAGGGACAGATGACACAGGACCCCAGAGACGAACCCTGCGGTGTTTCTGTGCTCTTGCTTTAGATTTGATAATTGCCGATGTTTGTCCATGAAGGGAAGAAAAACTTGATGAGGTGAGGAGAGATTACCAAGTGTCTTCAGAAATTGAGAGAAAATATGGCCATTTCTGTCACAAAAATTATTTCTTTGTTTCTCAGAATTTCAAAATATCATGCGATTTTTGTAGAAAAATAAGAAAATACAATGAAGTTAAATATAAAAATTACAGATAATCCTACCACTAGTGAGAACATTTAATACCTGAATCAAATAATATTTATATATATATATATAATGTATTTATGTCTCATTATAGATTAAATATGTATATATATGTATATATACATGTGTGTCCATATATGTCTATTTTGGGGCACCTGACTGGCTATGTCACCACATCTTCATGTTACTGCTAGATTATAGCATGCTATTTATTTGTAGCTGAGGAATGAGCCAAGGCCTTGATCATGGTAGCTTGTTCTTTACCACTAAGCCAAAACCTTAGTCCTTTATAATATAAACTTATTTATTTTTATTAACATAGATTAATTGTACAAAAAATCAGATTTGCTATGATATTTAAACATAGCATATGATATACTTTTATCATAGTCACCGTTTGTTTATTCTCCCCCATTTCCCCCTTCAATACCCTTGAATGTCCAAATTTTAATTTCATGTCCATTTGAGGCTCCCCTACATTCCATAATGATAGAAAACATTCAATCCCTATTTTTATGATTCTAGTTTATTTTTATCATGATGATCTGCCTTTCATCAATTTTTCCACAAATGAGATAATTTTGTTCTTTTAAAATATGATATAAATTTTAATAGTTTTATGATAGTCTATATCTAGATTTAGAAAAATTTACAGTAGTTTATTGCTGTATCTATATTTGTTAAAACACTGTAATGATGGCATTTAATTATATTGATGTAGGTAAACATGATCATATATACATCATAGTGGTGTCCACAACTTTGTTCCTTACAACATATTTTCCTAAACTGATTTACTTGGTTAGACAAAGGGTTCCTTTTCTCTCTTTTGTTCTCTTTTATTTATTTTTGTTGTTGCTTACCAGTTCAATGAATGTCTTAACCTAACATTTAATTTACACTGACAACAGGCTTTGTGTTTATCAACAGAAAGAGTCTGAGTACCTGAAAAGATGTAGGACTGTATGACAGCATGTGTGAACAAATCCACCGTCTTCTTCATACTTGTGTTTTTAAGGGGAATCTTTGCTACATTAATACAAATTAAAACCATGAGAGATTTCCTTGAGATCTGATAAAGAGGCTCAACATTATTCATAAGCATGCACGATAGTCAGACCATCTGAGTGGAGCCCCGATTATCTGGCCTTCTGTAACATTCCATTTTTATTTAGTACTTACTATATATCAGAAGTGTTACAAGTAATTTAGAAATGTGTAAATTATTTTTCATTCCATGTAAAGAAACCAGCAATGCTGTATGTATTATTCCCACTCCATAATAAACTAAGGCCTAGAGAATGTTTAATCAATGACTTATAGCCAGTTAGAAGTAGAGTTACAACTAGAACCCCTGTCTAATTTACTTCAAAGTCATTAACCACATTTATACCATATAGAATGTTTACTGTAGCCCAGGATATCTAATTACTCTTCCAAAGAATGAATGCAATATATGGCTTCTTAAATTTCCAATGCTCCCTGGAATCAAGACATTATATTCAGTAGAATAGAGTAAACATGAATGAGTAAATGGTAGAAGATAGAATATGCTCCCTAGGTAAATATGAGATTGCCATCAGGAAGACAGCATGGTACAGAGTCAGGAAGAAGATTTGGGCATACCTTGATGGAGGAAGAATGAATGTGGAAACCTGTAGACAGGGTTTATTTGATGGTGCACTCCAGTATGTGGATGGAGTCAATCTGCAGCTAGCAGAATTCTACTTCTCATCTAGGTTGAAGGGCAAAGTCTCGAGGGCTGAATCACCCTGGTAGATGAAGCTAAAGCTTATCCTAGATCTATGGTTCTCAAATTCATCATCCATCAGAGTCCACAGAGGGCCTAGGAGAATTTAGCAGTTCTGTTCAGTAGCTCTGGGGCAGGGTCCAAAAATTAACTTTTCTTGTCAGCTCCTTGGTGATGCTGTGACTCCAGTTTGGAGACCACACACAAGTACCACTGCTCTGGAGTCACAACTCAGGCTAGCCTGCAGCACCGAGTGGAATGGTATACCTGTGGGAATTAGGAATTATGTGAAAATGGTCTGGCAGGTCATTGCAGAATAAATTGACTTTGAGGTCCTGATTGCATTTCATAACATCTGTATGGTGGCATTCTGCTCCAGATAACTCAGTTTACAGGAACACAGTGGATTTCCCCAGGCTTTTTGTCCAGTGAGCCATATGTCTTCCCTGGGTAGATGCCTGATTCTAGACCACTGTAAAGTCCCCAGATTAAAAAACCTGTCTTCCATCCCTCGGTTATTATCCTCTAACCAAACACCAATGAACCATTCTGTTACTGGCAGTGTAGGCTGGGAGAGTGGCCATGGGTGAACTTCCTACATCACTCTCATTACATTACCTCAGGTTTGCCGTAAACAATGCTGATTTCTCCCTTTCTTGTGCACTAACTTTTAATACATTATTTTTTCCCATTTCAGAGGCAATTAAACAAATATATTGCAAATTAATTTATATTTGGCGAAGTATTTTCTTTATACTTTAAATATAATATAATCTTATGTTTTCAAAAAGCTTCCCTCTAAAAGAATGATCACTGAATCATACATTTCTACATAGTTTCTTGTATTCCCATAAATGTGTCATTTTTAAAGTGGGGTGTTATGTGCTTACTACATGACATATTGAATTTTATTTTTAAAGTGTTTCCAGAGAAGCAATTTTTTAAATAACCAGGCTTAGTTTTAATAAATATCAGATTTTAGGTTATGAAAGGATTTCAGAAAATTTCTAGTCAGGAATTGGTGGCTGTTCCCTGAAAAGGGATGGGCAATGTTTTCGACTTTGTGACTGATGCACTCTCTGCTTCAGCCAAAAAGCTGTGTTTTACTCTAAATCTGTGAGAGACGATGCATGAAGAGTAGTTGCAGCTTTATTCTAATAAAAAATCACTTACAAAAGCAGATGGCCATACGTCTTCAGTTTATGGGCTGTAATGCGCTGACTCCGGGTCTATTTTATTTCATTGATTTATCTGTGCGGAAACTGGGTCCTCAAGAGATGAATGACTGGCCCACCTCACATACTCAGGAAACATTGGGGCAAATGTAAATCCAAGTTAAGTGTCTAAACAGAAGACGACAGGGCACAGAGGACACCCTTGCAGCCTCGCTGCTTCCTGTCAGTTTAGAAAAACAACACCTTACCCCTTTAGTTACTTTCGTTGTGTTGGGGAGGCCAGGGGATTCCCAGTATGTTCCGTGTGTTTAAGATTTATAAATTTTTTTATGTGCACGTGTGAGTATCTACTTGTTTGAATGTGCAGTACATGTGTATTCGTACCCACAGAAGCCAGAAAAGGTGTTGGATCTCGTAGAACCGCAGTTACAGGTGCTTGTGAGGTTTCCCATGTGGGTGCTGGGAGCTGAACTGAGGTCCTTTGCAGCACGTGCTCTTCACCATCACCGAGCTGTCTCTCCAGCTCCTCCTTTGTGCTCTTCTAGTCACCTAGCTAGGTGTCAAATAGCTCATTTTAAATGGCTTTGTGGGAGAGTAAAAAGACAAGCACTTAAAGGGGTCAACTTGTTACATGTCCCATACTTGGCTAAATCCTGCTACCAAAAGAGACCACAGTTGAAGGTTTGATTCTTGAAGTGACAGCAAGAAGCTGTTCTAGGCCACAGATGGTGCAGACCACCCAATTGAGCAGTTTTCAAATGTATTTTGGAATCACACAGCCTCTGGGTAAAAATCAAGCTCCAGGCGAAAAGCTTAGACAGTATAGATCAAAGCACTCCAGTGAATGGAGAGATCTGAAGCTTGTATTGTCCAGGGAGAGGTATTTCTTGATTTCTCCCCCTGCCTTCCTTTCTCCCTTCCTTCCCTCCCTCCCCCTGTCTTGCCTTCCTGCCTTCCTTCCCTCTGTTCATCTTTCTTCTGTCCTTCCTTCTATCTCTCTTTTTTTCTATTTTCTTTTTTCTCTCTTTCTCTCCTTTTTCTATTTTCTTTTCTCTCTTTTTTCTTTTTTCTATTCTCTCTCCTCTCTCTCTCTCTCTCTCTCTCTCTCTCTCTCTCTCTCTCTCTCTCTCTCTCTCCTTTTTCATCTATCTGTACAGGGTCTTACATATCCAAAGCTGGCCTCTGACTTGCTGTGTAGCTGAGAATGATCTTGAACTTCTGATCCTCCTGCCTCTGCCTCCCAAATCTCAGATTGCAGGCATGCACACCATGCCCATTTTATCCTGGGGCTAGGGTACACAGGTGGGGTTTTGTGCATGTCAGGTAAGTGTTCTATCAGCTAAGTTACAGCTCTACTCCCATAGACTTCTGAGGTGAAGGACTCTTTTTATTGTTGATTTTAGAATACAAGCTTTAGGCTAAACCTTTCGTATCCTGTGATCATTATGCTCCCAAAAGAACTTCAGACTAAATACTTTACATGTATCCTCTAGCACTGTCTTGAATAAATTTATATTGAAATTATCCAGGTCATCTTTGTCCTTATTGAACACACAGGGCTGTTCTTCACTATATCTCATCTTACCATTTTATCTTATTTAACCATTATTATTCTGTCACATTTGCTGCTTGTGCCGTGGATTTGTTTCAAGGTAGACTGTCCATGTTTTTAAGTTGTGAAGGAAAAATAGAATTGTTTTTGGGAAAAGTAATATAAATGAGGCTTGGATTTGTAAGAGTTTTGACAAGAGGCCTTGACGGGGATAGCTTTGTTGAGCATTCATATCAGAGACCTATTATATCTTCTTACATGTACCTTCTGATATTATTTAAGTTAGTTCTTTGCCAATTTCAGATGTGTATATAATGCATTCTGGTTATTCTCTCCTTCCACCCTTTTATTTACATATTGCCTCTGACTTGTCATGCATAAAAAAAATTGAGATACTTTCTGGTCACTGTGGTATGTTTATGTATATGTGCCCATATATATCTATGTATATATGTGTACATGTATGTGTATGTATATGCACATGTGTATGTATGTATATATATGTATGAGTATGCATGTATTTGTGTATGAATGTGTGCATGCCAATATATGTGTATATTTATATGTATGTGTAATGTATATATGCATATGTATGTATGTATGCATATGTTGAGGGATAGAGTTGTTATTGGGGCTGAAGAGAGTAGGATCTGCACTGTTGTTAGGAACCTGCCACACTCTGTGTTTCTCTCATGCACTCTTCCTAGCCCTCTTAATTCCTATGCTCAATTTGTTACTCTACCCTGAATTCTCTATCTCAAATGAAGAAGGAGCCAATTGTATTGACCATGCTAATTAGTATGAAGTCCATTGATTTAGAAGCTTTCCTAATAGGGCAGCTCATGTACTACCAGGAAGCCTTTGGCTGGGTTGCCCTTGGACAGGTATACTACTGGGTGGCCTTAAAGCAAGAGCAGCTTGGAGCTGCTGCCCTGAGCTGGACAGGGTTGTTTATGACATGACAACTGGGCATTCAGTTAAGTATTTTCTATATTTTGTTGTATTTTTCTTTCTATATTTACTTTATTGTAAAGTTAATTCACATTTTTGTTGAAAAATGTTAAATATATAAATCTCTGTGTCACTCCATTTGCTGATGACTTACTGGTCTTTTTTTCTACTTACAGTTCCACACAGGATTTCTTAAAGAATAATACATGAATATACTAAACAGTAGACCAATATATTTTTGTTTAATATTAGATCACAGTTTTCACTGATATAATAGCCTTCCAGACTGGCCAAATTATCAGCAACAACATATCATGGTACAAGTATATTGTATGTATCTAATGCTAGTCACATAAATGGTTCCATCACTCCTCATTAAAATTTATCAGCATTTCAGATAACATTGTTAAGACAAATTCCTACAAGTAGACTAACCAGATCAGAGAAAGTGGGATTGTGAAAGCCTTTAAAATGTATTGTTAAGCTGTTTCTAATGATTAGGATTCAGCTTTTACTTTCGTCATTCAGGTAGAAGACAGTGAGTGATCTGTCATACTGTCTTTTGGGGATGTCACACACATACCATGGGCACATGTGTAGAGGTCAGAGAACAGGTTAAGGGATTTTTGTTATTGTTGCTGTTTTTTTCTCTTTCTACCCTGTGGGCCTCAAGATTGAATGCAAGTTGTCATGCTTGGCAGCAAGCACCTTCACCAACGAAGCCATTTTGCCAGCCCTATGACTGGCTTTGAAAATGAGTGTTTGTATATTAAAAAGCATTACATCCTTCTTGTTCTATGTATTCTAGTTATTATTCTGCTACTGTTGTTGCAGGGGAGTAGCGGGCTTAGGTATTTTGATGTAAAGCCACTTGCTGATTGCTTTCAGTTTGAAATGCTAACTAAGCATATGTGTGTTTTCTTTAGCCTTCATACACAGAATTTGACATCAGTGGCAATGTCCTCGCTCTGATCTTCAACCAAGGCATGATCTGGTATGTCAGCTGGTGGATATTTAAGCACATAGGGAAAGTATCCAAGGTCATTGCTGTAGAAGGAATTGAAGCTAGGTGTAGAGAAGACCCCATTCTGTGGATTCTAGCTCTTTATTTTCCTAGGTAGAGATGGATGGTGTGGAAAGCTTAATTTTTCCATATTTTAAATCATCAGCCTGTTTGGCAGAGTTCTCTTTCAATAAAAATTGGGAGTCTGTGCTCTTTCTGCTGGACTGATTTGAAGATTCTCTTCTTACATCCCGTCACACCAGGACTGAACAGGAAACTGTCACTCATCAATGGTCAATCACATTAGCTCCTGTAAGGAATGAGCTATGTTGCTGTATCTGACTTTTGGAAAAAAAAAACTGATAACATTTTCTTGTCACTATTAAACACACTAAAAGCATATTTGATAACTTAAAAAAAAATCTTACCAAATCCAGCAGCTTCTAGATCTAGATATAACATTATTTTAGGAAGTTCAAGTTAAAAATAAGATCTTCACTTCGTAATGTGTTGAACAGGGCCATTTGCACAAGGGAATTTTTATTTTGATGTGAGAAGATTGTCATATCTTCTATTAAGTGGAGGCATTTTCACTCTAAATTCTGACAGGTTATGATAAGTTGATAGAGTGAAAGCCAGTTTTGAGTTTTAAAAATTGAATCACAGCATGCAATTCATCTGGGGATGATGTGTCTTAGAATCTGTCATTCTCTGCTGAGCATCCCAACCCACAGGCAGTTACAGTTAAGCTATTTTGTCTTCCTAGGGACATGTGCTGAAGGCAGCATTGTACTAACTACACCACCGTCCTATCACACGGGCCAGGATAGCTTCAGCTGGTGTTTCTTTTTTAAATTAGCTTCATATATCATTCAAATCTGTCAATCAGAATCATTAGACCCAATGAATGTTGATAGAGCCTGGAGCCCTCTGCAAACAGGAAAACCATTTTGCTTCAGTAAAGTAAGGGTCACTCCCAAGCTTCCATCATTCCTCCAATGGGACCTGTAGAATTTCTGCCTCCACAGGTGAACCAGTATGAATAATACAAAATATACAAATATTTTTCTTGGCTGTCAGGTCAGACATGGTTAAGAATGTAATTCCTGTCCCTCCCTTACTTTCTGTGTTTTGAAAATATGGCTCCTGTGTCCGGAGAGTCGCTAAGGAGTACAACACATCCTTTGTCTCCGTGTAGGGAAGAATGACAAGGGGGACTTACCTGAGTACTCATAGGCTCAGCAGGGTGAGGGAGCAGCTCCTATGGGTTCTGATCTTTTTCACCTCCCAGAGGAGAAGCATCTTCACCTTTGCCCCCTCATTTTCTCAGGTGTTCAGGGTGGAGTAATTTATGTGATACATGTATGGCTCTGCAGCAGCAAGACAGGCCAAATAAAAATGCTTCCCTTTGCTTTTATCATCTTAGAAGAAAGTCATTTGATGAAGCTAAGATGGTGTAATGATGTTTTTAGCTGACAGATGATGGCATTAGGTCTGGGTAAGGGACTTAGTGGGATGAGCTGATTATAAGTCACAAACCAAGATGAGGGGACCATTAAGACTGAGGCATTATTGTGCCAGGACTTGCTTTTCTAGGTTATGCCTGTCAAATCATGTGCTCATCATGTCCATGTTTCTTTTGAAATTATTGTATAACTATTGTATTAGTCAGAGTTCTCTAAGGAACAGAACTAATAGAATGAAATACACATATATGTGATTTTTAGAGTGGCTTACAGGCTGTGGTCGGAGTAGTCCAGCAACAGGTGTCTCTTGACAGAAAGGCCAAAGATCTAGTGAGAGTTCAGGCCATGAGACTGGATGCCTTAGCAGTCCCAATCTGGTGCTGGAGTCTCAGCGAGGTCCTATACAGTTGGAAGTTTTCAGTTAATATTGGAATTCCAAAGAAGTAGGTTCTAACACCAGGGAAAGATACCTCAGCATGGATGAACTTGCCAGTGAGAGTGAGGGCAAGCAGACAGAAAGCACAGCTTCCTTCTATGTTCTTTTCATATGGGCTGCCACCAGAAGGTGTGGCCCAGATTTGAGGCGGATCTTCTGATTTCAAATGATGCAGGTTTACCCTGGGTCTTCCAGCTCAAATAATCCAACTAAGAAAAATCTTTCACAGGTATGCCAAGTTGCTTGGGTCTTGGTTACTTCCAAATGTAGTCAAGTTGGCAATCAAGAGTATTCATCAGAAGTCCACTTCTTGTCAAATTGACACACAATCATATCTCCTTACATTGTGCTTAACTTCCAAATGAAAACAATAATCAAGTCATAATTATGCCTAACATAACTATCCCACATTCCACCACAAATGGATTATAGGGAAAGAGGCAAGATTCTATGATGGACATTCCTCTAGTCTTATAAGTCATTTACATATAACCTGTGTATACATGTATACACACACACAAAGGTAGGTAGTTTTAGGAAAACTTAGATTTTTTGAATTGTGTGCAAATTTTTGTCGTGGACTTGGATTGTACATAAATGAAACAAAACACCTCACATTTTCACAACTTAGAAAAATAAAATATCTGGTATGGGCTGAGGGAGCACTCTGATCCCCTGCTTATCCTTACTTTAGAGATGTTTACTGATGGAATAGCCTCTACCTGGAACATTGCTCTCAGGGCAGGTGGAAGAGAAGAACACACAACCACATAGGACTGATAAAGTTTTCACCCAGCACTGAGGTATCTTATAAGTAATCATCTTTTATCGGTCCTAACAAGTCACATACACAACCCTGAGTTTTAGAACAAGGTGGACCTGATCAGCCCTGGGTGCTAAGCTTTGTAATTCTAATTAACTGGGACAATTGGTAACTTATTCTTTTTTGAGTGCCAACTTCTCTCTTGCTAGTTATACAGTGATGTGTTCAAAGGTACACAGTGATGTTTTAAAATCTATCTTCCCATTAAAAAATAACTTTTTACAAAGTTTGCAGTCAGTTCATTGTGACATCATTTGGATTTGTTGCTTGGCATCTTACAAACAAGATAATTGAAATTGTGGTAAGCTTTCACTTTTCAAAGGAAAGCATTAACTTTAGGATGGTTTAAGTGCAATAAGATAACTTCTTTTTCCTACTTAAAAATGTCTCTTTAGAATACAGAATTGTCATTGACTTAGTTTCTTAGTTTTTCTCCCTGTTGTGATTAAAATACCCTGACAAAAGAAATTTACAGAACCAGTGACTTATTATAGCTCACAATTCCATGTGACAGCCCATCATATCAGGGATGTCAAGGTAGCAGGAACCCTGAAAAAGCTCGTCATATTCCATCTATAATATAAAGCAGAGAACAGTGAATGAATACATAAATACATGTGCTCATCTTACTTTATTTCAAGATTCCTTCCCTAGGGAATGGTGCCACCCAGAGTGGGCAGGTCTTTCTAAATTAATAAATGTAATCAAGATAATTCTCCACAGACATACCAGTTAACCTGATCTGAACAATCCCTTGTGATAATATTTTGTTTGTGATCTCACAGATAAAGCTTTCCTGAAGATCAGAGGGCAAAGGCAGCCACTAGTTAGCCATAAAGGCCAGGTAGTGGTGGCACACATCTTTAATTCCAGCACTCAGGAGGGAGAGGCAGACGGATCTCCATGAGTTTAAGGCCACCTTGAGCTACACAAGATTGATCCAGTCTAAAAGAGAAAGAGAGCCAGGCAGTGGTGGCACACACCTTTGATTCCAGCATTTAAGGTCTTGTGCCTTTAATCCAAGCACTAGGGAGGTGGAGACAGGAAGTGATATTGACATATGACTGGACAGAGAGCAGAATATAAGGCAGGAGGAGAAAGGACCTCAGGGCTCTTTTTGGCTGAGGATTTCATACAAGGAAGAACTAGTGGCTGGCTGCTCTGCTTCTCTGATTTTTCAACAAGCTTTATTTGTTAGATCATACACAAAATATCACCACAATCCCTCATTGACATTCTTTCCCCAGCTGATACTAGCTTGTGTCAGGTTGACAATGGAAAGATATCACACTTAGTTAAACAGCTATGATGTGCACTAAGGAAGTACAAACTTAAAATTTCTAATGGCCTTATTATGGTTGGGACAATTAAACAATAGGGCTCCCCTCTATGTATAAAATAAGTACAGAGTTCTTTTTGGTTTTAAACTGATATATTGAAACTCACATTACTGTGCAAATGAGCTTTCTCCTCAAACTAAACTGAAATTATTTTTTTCTGAAATGACCAACTAAGACATCAAGCAAAAATAACATTACCTAAGCAGTTTCAGTTCAAAATAATATTTTACAGAACTTTTTAAAAGTCAGACACACAAATGAGTGTATTCTCTAGATTAATAACAACTAAATTTAAATGGATTTCAATGAATGCATTATAATGTTAGATATCAATATCTCTTCCATAAGCTCTAAAGCAACATAGTTACTATGAAGATAAAATAGCATTAGAATACATTTTCTCATTCACTAGCAGCAATTATCTGCAGAAAAAGTGACTAACCTAAATGTACAGTTTATTTGAACAGAATGGGAGCCCTTAAAGGTCTCTCATTTGAAAAGTTCTATTTTGAAATATGCTAGTCAGTGATAGGAATATTGGAGAGAATTGAGTTTACTAACAGCAGAAGAAATAAGGAAGCAAAAGAATTGTAACATTTGTTTACTCTTGGTTTTTGCATTTGCTAATGAAACAGATTTAGTTTATGACAATTTCTATGGGATAATTACATAAAATACTCCCAGAAAGGGGAAATGGTAAAACATATTTAGAAGGTGGGAGTAGGGTTGTCAGGACTATTTATAGACAAAGCCTTTATGATTGTGTCTAGCAACATGTTTTTTGATTTTGGTAAGAGGAGCAATGTAAAATGAGCAGATTGTGTGCAATTTGGTGATGGACTTGAAATTGAGCAGTGTTCTGATTCTTTTCTAGGATGGGCTCCTTCTTTGCCCCTAGCCTTCCAGGCATCAACATCCTCCGACTCCACACATCCATGTATTTCCAGTGCTGGGCTGTGATGTGCTGCAATGTCCCAGAGGCCAGAGTCTTTAAAGCTTCCAGATCAAACAACTTCTACCTTGGCATGCTGCTGCTCATCCTCTTCCTGTCCACCATGCCCGTCCTGTACATGATCGTCTCCCTTCCACCATCTTTTGATTGTGGGCCCTTCAGGTCTCTCGTAGTTCTGATTTGACTTGAGCATAGTATTCATTTGGGTTTGAAGTGGGAATGGCTATTCATTGTACAGGCTTTTCAAACATGACACTTGTCATTGGTCGAAAAGAGATTCTTTGGTACTCATGTCATCATGTGACATGGAACATCTCAGGCAATTTCCATCTATTGTCTCACTTGAGAGTCATAAAGGGAAAATATTCTGTAAGGATACAATATAGATACTGAGTCCTGCTGTTTCCATATTGGGGAGAGCCAAGAGCAATACTTGACTATACTAGTCTAGACATGGTTATTTGCCTGCTGTTATAACATCATCCTATCCACACATGAATATGGTTAGATTTCATGTGGACCTTAAGAAAATAGATTTCCCACCTATTAAATAATAAGTGGAATCATTATTAAATAATGATGCACGTTGAAAGAGAGTTTTATACATTGTGATCTAAAAGGACTCCATGAATTGAAAATTGGAATGCTCCTTAGTTCCACATCTGGTTTCTACCTATGGGTTACTCAATAAGTAAGCAAAATTCAGGAATTAGCTTTGCTTCCTTCAAAGCTGCTCATGAGCCTATCATGAGTCCTCCAGTTACCTCTACAGGTTGTTACTAGTCAGCATGCATTTGATGTGAAGAGACGGTGAAGGCAGGAAGCCTTCTAAATGCCAGATGCAATGCTCTAATGGTCAAATAGAATTTTCCCTTTGTGCTGTCACACTCAAGAGATTTCTCGTCGGAAGGTTTTTTTGCCTAAGACTAAGTATAAAAGGGGCATGTTTTCACACCAATAATTGCCTCAGTTATTGTTCTGACAATAGTTCAGAATTAACTGGTGTTTATCAGACTCAGGAAACTGAAACTGATAAGCCTTGCACATCTGTCTCTTTCTCTATGTGTCTGCTTGTACACTGTGTGTGCCTGTGCAAGCATACATATGCTCACATATCTGTTGGCAAGTAGGCTGAAATAAATAATGCAGACAGTGACATCTGGAGACTAAATAGGAAATTGCAGTCTTGAAGCTGACATCTTAATCTGAAAGCAAAATTCAAACAATAAGCCCTTGAAAAGCCTTCCATTAACTGGAACTTACCCATGTGATTTTATATCTAAGGTATACTTTAAAGATGTTTTTACCTTGTACTAGGAAGTTGATCTTCCTCCTCCCCAGCAAAACACTGGAAAGAACCTTTGCTCTTTTATGCAAAGTGAGGGGAATGTAAATGCTAAGCTGGGTCATGACACAGTTGGATTCAGACTTGAATTATTGGGCAGAAACATGCAATGATTGTACAATTTTAGCTTCTTAAGTTGCATTCCCTCTGGCTTTCTGGCTTCCTGGGTTCCTCAGCAATACCAACTTAACACTGATTTTTACCGGGAAACAAAAGATGGCAAGAATGGCATAGTATGTGACTATTACCATGAATTTCTGGCTGGCACATTTAGATGAAATGGCTATGAATATCATTATTCTGAGATCAGAAAGTACTGCATGTTTGCAGTGGAGTATCAGAAAGTGGTATGTTGTTTCCCATTAGTTTCCTGCAGCTTCCTTCTTTTGGAGCACACCGATGCTTAACCCTTGCCCCCACACAAACCCCTGGGCCTGCCTCCCCAGCACTCACTCCAAGGTTCAGAAAGGCTATTGTGTTCTAGAATGAGGCCAGGAATCACATTTCCTATGGTTTGCTACCCTTAGGAACTGGGTGTTGAGGTGTTACCCTCCTGCTGAGGGAAGGCTTTTAGACCACATCTGGTGCCTGGTTGGGCAGCAAACCAGCAACCGTGAATCTGAAAGAGGTTAATATGAAACTAGAATTTTGTCCTCAGTTTTGAATTTGAGGACACTAGTGCTGGCTTGTTGTTCTCAGGCTACTGGTGTGTTTTGAGCTAAGATGTCTACAGCCCACTCGTCTGTCCAAAGAAACAGTTTGATGAGCTTTTCCAGCACAACCTGCTAAGTTTTCTAGAAGATTGTTAAAACTGTTGTTAAAGGGATTTAATTTAAACTGTTGGTAATTTAAAAACTATTTCTTTGATAACAGTATGAAGAAAATATTTCTAATTGTTCAGCCATGTTTCCTCCAATTTGATAGCCTCCTCACATCTTCATCAATAATTCCAAACAGTTTATAGTTCTTCAGTTTCTCCTACCCTTCTCCTTATATTGTAGCAATTTTTCTTCCTGCAAAACAATCATCCTATATAACTTGAAAAGTTTAGAAATATTTGGCAATTAAATACTGCTCATATTCCCAAAGACCTAAAACAATAACACCAAACATTTTGGTATTTGATCATTTGTTCATGTTCAGAGGTTTCAATCTGAGGTTATACACTAAAGAATGTGGGGCTGTAATAGTGAGCACAGTGCTTGACATTACTATCACAATTAGTTACTCACAGTTAGATTTTATGTGTCAGCTCTTATGTGTCCTTTGTAAAGGAAAATACTATAATCCATGATCTGATAACTACTTGGGGTCATACCATGCCTGTTGAAAGACAGTATTAGCCCAATCCGAAGTGGGGGAAAAACTCCATCTGATCTGGGAATTGTGGAGCATATCCATTTTGTTTAAATATTAAAAGATTAAAATAGGGGGCCCCCAGGCAGTGGGATCGGGACCTGTCCTGACTGTATGAACTGGCTTTTTGGAACCTAGTGTCTATGGTGAGACACTTTGCGAAGTTTTGGTGCAGAAAGGAGGGGCTTGGACCTGCCTCAACTGAATGTACCAGGCTCTACTGACTCCCCATGGGACACCTTGCCTTGGAGGAGGTGGGAATGGCGGGTGGGTTGGGGGGAAAGGCTGAGGGGTGGGAGGAGGAAGGACAAGGGAATCTGTGGTTGGTATGTAAAAGGAATAGAAAATCTCTTAATAAAACAATTTATTAAAAAAAGATTAAAAACCAAAAGTAGACATATATAATACTACACTAACTTTTAAACTGAAAATATGCCTATTTCACTTTTCTGTGAAATACAACATTCACTATTTGATAGTAGGATCAATATACATATTCAAAGGGAGTAACTTGGCACTATGAATAGTTCACTAATTCTAGACACTCCACACTAAGTTAAAACATTCTGCTCTCTCTCTCTCTCTCTCTCTCTCTCTCTCTCTCTCTCTCTCTCTCTCTCTCTCTCTCCTAGTTCAGAGGAGCTGATTTTCCTAGAACCTAAACCCTTCACTGGTTTTTGCTGGGAGCTGTCCAGCATCAGAGACCTGAGGTTGAAAGAATCCTCCTTCAGGAGTGTGGCTGACAGTTTAGATCTCTGATAAATGAAGTCTGATGGGCAATGAGCAGCAGCAGTGGTGTGGAATGAGATGTTGGATTATTTGTAGATTTTATTCCACCAGTCTGTTTCTTGTGTTCATGTCCAAAGCCAATTAAAAACTGAGTGTACTGCATACTGAGTTCAGAAAGAGCTTCCTCTCAGAGCAGCTGCCTTGGGAGCGATTTATTTGCCACACATAAAATACCATTCAATCAAAAATTTAGAAGTAGAATATTAAAAATTCTTCTGAAGCTGTGAGTAATTTTCCTAAGTGCTTTGCTCTGCATGTGTATTGGGACAGGGCTGCTCTGCTCAATTTATACTCTTCTGTTAACAAGATGTGGTCAGAGTATTAGATGTACAGCTTATTATCAGATCCTTAACCCACAAGAGAACCTATGCAGTGTTGGAGAAATATTTACTTATCTCACTGTAACCATATTTTATACCTTTGTTTTAAATTCAATGCCCCACTACCACCACCAGTGGCAAAAACAGGATGTTCGAAGTCATCGGTGAGACCCTGGAACATGACTTCCCGAGCTGGATGGCGAAGATCCTGAGGCAGCTTTCTAACCCCGGCCTGGTCATTGCTGTCATCCTGGTGATGGTGTATGTGTTTGTTCTCAGGCTCCATTTGAGTCCCTTCCCCGCCAATCCTGACGACATGATGGTGGGCGCTGAGTGATGCGAGCCATCTTCTGCTCCTGCGGGATGCGATTCGCAGCCATCTGCGTCAGTCCCTGCCTCCCTGGGATTATAAGATTTGTTCCCAAGTAACCAAAATAATTATCAGTAAACAGCTAAAGCAAGGGAAACATAAATGCTAAATGCTAAATCTAATCAGCATGTTGAGTTTCCCTTCCCAGCACGGCCCCCACCTCTTGCTCCATAAAGCAGATGGCTGTGAATACAGAGATGATGAGCCTCTGTGTTAATATTCCCCTTGGGAACCCTCAAGGCTATATTTTAGGGCTAAAGGCCTAAGGAGCATTAAAGATTACCCCATTATTTTTTTTTTCTTAGAGGGCTGTCAATAACTATGCATCCATAGTAACAGAATCAGAGGAGCAGAGCGTCTCCCAGTTACTCTAGACTATCCCTGCCAAGTCAGAGGGATTTACAAAAGGATGTTTAGCAGAAGGATTTTGTTCCTATTTTTCCCTTCACTTGGGGCTTCAGCAGCACAAAATATTCGTATTCTGGAAGAACTAAGAGAGACACTCTCCTCTTCACCTGCCAGCCCCTTTTAATGAGAAAAATCTGGAATAACTGCTGCTTTAGGTCAAGAGCAACATGTATGAAGCTACTTCCAGGGATGCTGTACCCACAAGGTTGTTGTGGAAGATTGAACTTAAAGGTGAAAGGAACAAAAATCAGAGCTGAACTTCAACTGGCTTGAAATAAACAAGCTGGATGCTGACCCAGTTATCGTGACCATTCCTCATGGCCATTTTTATGGTCATAGTCACAGAAAGTGGTGAGAACAAGGCCATCTTCACTTTCATAAATTAACAAACATGACTGGCATGCTCATTCCTAAATGAGATGGGACACAGGCAAACCCTTCCCAGGAAATTCAGTGTCTACACCTTTACTTGCCAACACCTTCTATACTAACTCAGAGCTAATTTAACAGTAACAGAAATTACTGTTACACATCGTAGAACCTTATTAAGAATCAAAATTAGTCTCTGGATTATATGTGTTGGAAGCATCAATCACCAGATGGCCCTTGAATTGATTTTCTTTCTTCACAATTTCTTGAGAATGTGGTTTCTGAGAACATGTCAATAAGGATCCTGTGGCCTTTGTTTTCCAAATCTCTTTAATAGTACAGATGAGATCTTGTCTGACACAGACAGACAGACAGTCAGACAGACAGACCACAAAGGGCGGCCCTTGCTACTACATTTGTAATTTGCTATGAGATTTGTTTTTAAACAAAAAGACAACACTATTGGAATGCCTGTCTAAAAATCTACCACACTACATCAGGAATTTATACTGCTGTTGTTTTAGGTACCCTATAGTGACTGATTTTCACCAAAATAGTCATAAGAAATAGCTATATTAATCACATTGTCGTTAGCACAGGGATGGTCTGCTCCAAGTGAAGTGTTGATCAGTGCAGCTTTGGTTCCCTCTGCTCATCTGCACCAACAAAGTTTGGAATCCTTGGGACTCTCCGAAGGCCTTAAAGTCACTTGTTAAGAATGGTTCAAGGGTGTCCAAAAACTGTTGACACTGCAACATGACCCTGTAGACCACACAGGTGTCGAGCCTCATCTGTAGCTATCCTGGGACACTTATGGCCCAATGGTCAAAATTCGGCATATCTGGCAGACTCAGGGCATACTCCTAAAGATCCAGAAGTAGATAGTATAGGAAGGGAGACAAAACTGGTCATGACCTAAACATCTAAAGATGCAAAGAGCACTCTTGGTTCAGGAACTAAAGAAAGCACTCTGGAGTGCTGACTCTGATGTGTGAGCCATAGTTTCACAGCCCCTGACACTGAGGGAAGGCAGCAACATGAGGGTTAAAAAGACGTGCTCAAAGGGGTGGATTTTGCTCTAATTTGCAGACTTAAAATCCAGATTGCAGTTTACTATTGATTGTCCCCCCAAACTCCATTGTCTCATGTTCTTCTTTAAGGGGCCCCAACAATTGGCTTAGATTTTTATTACCATTAATTAGAGAAGGTTAGAAACATTTTGAATTTCCCAGTAGATTATATTAAATCCACTTGGATGGTTTTCAGTATTCTAACAGCATTTAGGTTAGTTTTCTGTAAGTGCTGTCAGTGAATGTGAGGCAAGGAAATATACGTGAAGCACACTCATTTAAGATGCATAGGGAATCCCAGAACTGAAAATGATTTGTGAAAGAGAAATTAACATTCACCTATATCGAGACTTTTCCAAGAAAATTCTTGTTCTACACACACACACACACACACACACACACACACACACACACACACAATTTCATGCCAGATGCTGCCCCAGATGTTTTCATATATGTAATTTCAGGCAAACTCTAGCTAACCACATAAGAGATAAACCCAACTAAAGTGTGTCAATAATTATGCTGCCAGCACCAGATGGCTCATAAAGGATATACTCTGGCATGTGGGTGGGCAGAGAGAATGTGTTTAATCTCCAGTTATTTGTAGCGAGACCAGCAACAGCCATCTTTCCTTTTTACTACAGCTCCCCTTTGCTGGTTCATTTTGCCCAAAAAGAAAATGAGGATATTTATTTTGTTAGAATTGTTGAGCTGGAATTTGCTTTTTCTAGAAATGTAAATGCCATTTAAAATCCAAAGTTATTCCTTGGTGAAACAGTTTTTTTTTTTTTGTTTGTTTGTTTTTTTTTTTTTTGGAGGGAGGGAGAAAGGCAAATGTATTCTATGGGGAAAAATCCATGTTAATGAAGGTATGTCCTTGAGGATTGCATTCTTGGTTGTAAAGACTAAAGGCCAAATGGTGAGTTCAAGGTATGAACCTTCAGCAGACCTGCCATTATCATTGTTGCCATTGCCATTTTTCATAAGGCAGCTATAATTAGAATTTAAACTGATGATAATACACTTCCAAGAAGCTAATGTTGGCCTTGTGGAATTGCAGATGGCATACATACTAGGTGGCAGATCCGAAACCTTTGGGCCAACTTTCTGGCTTCACCACAGTCATTGTGTAATTTTTAACTACACTTTATTTCAGTGATATTGGGGATAGAACCTATGGCTTTACTCATGCTAGACAAGTGACCTGCTGCTATAGCCCCAAGCTCTCACTGAGTTTCCTTATTTGGCCTTGAACTTGCAATGTAGTCTAGCCAGTGAACATAAAATCCTCTTGCTTTAACCTCTCTCTAAGTCAATGGGCATCTCCAGGCGTGGGTTCTAAGTACACCTGTTTACTTCTCTGGACCTCAGGTCTTCCATGCAGAACATCACCTTTTGGATAGAAAGTACCTTATATCCAATTTCATGCTAGTATTGGTTAATATAGTCCTAAGCAGGGTAATGGGAAACTGAGAAATGCTATCAATTTTATTTTATTCTATTTTAATTTTGATTTTAGTTTGACCATCTATTATCTCAATGCTACCGCCAAGGGCCAGAAAGCTGCAAATCTGGATCTAAAAAAGAAGATGAAAATGGTACAATATAACTTAATATATACATATATGTTTTATAATGTCTTTACCAATGTCAAGTAGAAGAAATCTGAATGTAGTCTTCTCTTCTTTTTTATTGTGTAGCAAGCCTTGGAGAACAAAATGCGAAACAAGAAAATGGCAGCTGCTCGAGCAGGTTGGAGATGTGTTTTTGTTTGTTTTATGACCCTAAGAGTGTACTCTTTCTTTCTCCACATGAGGCATTTGATGGCCTTTGGCAGCTTATCCCATGATTCCCACCATCCATTGTTTCAGATCTTCCCAAGCTTCTATCTAAGGGAGGGGTTGGTTTCTCTTTCATGGGAGGGGGTTGGAAAAAAGGATGGAAAAATTCAACAGTGTAAACTTTGGAGCACCGATTAAAAAGTGATCTTAAAACCTGACAGAAAATGATGAATGCTTCCTTCTGGTCATGTGAAAATAGTAAATGCCTTAGGGCTTATTTTGACTAGTTTTATAATTGGGAAAACTGGGATGGTACCAAAGGAATCCACTTCTCAACTCACCATCTTCACCATCAAAAGTGTTTTCTGTTCTTGGCACCTTTCACTTTTAATTATTTTCTTAGCACTGAGTATTGATGCCAGGGTCAACCTAATGCTGTACTACAAAACTTCGTCCTCAGACCTCTATTTCTTTGTTTATTTTGGTGGGGGCTGTCACTGTGTTTCCAAGGCTGGCCCTGTACTCACTCTTATTCAAGGCTTTCCTTGAGTTTGCAAACTTCTGACGTTGGCCTACCAAACAACTAGAATTGCAGTTGTATGTTAGCAGGCTGGCTCTACTTCTTTCTAAACCTCTTCAATGTTTAAACTACAGTTGACCTTCCAACTGCTGAGTGCCTGCATTTGAAGATGTAACAGGCTACGTGCTGTAAATATTCTGGAAAATAAATTGCGAATGTACTGGGCATAAATGCTTTTTATTTGCCATCACTATTCAACACTATTACAACTAAGATTTGTGTATCTGTGATGGGGAGGTTAGACCTAATGTCCTGCAGATAAGGCAGTGCACCATTACTCAAAGAAGGGATACTTTTATCGACAAAAACTAATGATAGGTCTTGATCCACCACCACCACCACCACCTCTACCACCACTGCAATTATGGCAACTTGAATGAAAATCTTTTCCAATTTTCCTACCTTTATTTACAACTTCATTCCTAACTTTAAAATTTTTCCTAGTAGTAGAACTTTTAATCTTTTGTAAGTAACTTTGAATATTCAACTCAAATCAATTTAATTTTAAGAAGAGATACTTACAAACCCACATGAATAAGACCCTGTAGAGCTTCAGAGCACTTGGTTTTTGTTTTGCTGAACTGGAGGTTAAAACTCCAAGGCCTTGTAATTGTTGGGCTAATGCTGTCATTGAGCTGAAATTCCATGCTTCCTTTCTTACAAACTGGTGTTTTTGTTTTTGTCTTTTTTTTTTTTGAGATTTTTGCAACAAGGTCTAAGTTGACCAGGCAGGTCTGAAACTCACGATGTAGCCCAGGTGACCTTGAATTTGCCATTCTCCTGTTTCATCCTTCCAAGTAGCTGGGATCATGAGTCTGAATCATCAATCAGCCACAGTTTGCACTTGAAGTCCTTCACTTAGAATCTGCTCAACACTGAGCCAACTTCCATGTGAATCAATCAAGAGCAGGCTGCTTTCACTGCAGCTGATTTGCACCATGGTAGGACTGGATCCACCTCCAAGTCCTTTCCCACATTAGATTAACTACCAAGAGAACTGAGCTTTGACTTTGAATAGCTTCCTGAGAATGGCAAGGGAATATCTTTCCTTGAAAATCTGTGGGATCTTCTCATTTTAGACTAGCCCACTTGGGTCATAGCGCCCCTCCCCCCCTGCCGTCCCCCAGTAACTGGATCTAGCCAAGAGTATAGTGGGTGGCTGCAGCCGGTGAAGGCTTATTCCAGGAGATAGGCTTGTTTAGCTTCCTGATGCACACAAAATGCACTGAAGAGGGCCCAGCAGTTTAAGAAAAGGGAGGAAGTGCTGGATGGTCCCAAAAAGCATGACTCAAGAGATTGGTCTCTTGTCTCCTTTAAGCTTAAAGTTTTAAAAATATATTTTTTCTCCCAGCATGCAGAAATGCAACATCAATAATGAGAAGCCCATATTGACGACAGTGATGTACAGTTTTCAGACTAGTCTTTTCCTAACCAGTGCTACATAGGAGTACTGCAGAGATGTGCATGATTATGAACTCTTACAAAAACAGCCCCTTTCCCTTATTCTAGACAGTTGGGTCCTGTTCTCTGTAGACGAATTGCTAAATGGTCTTATTAATAATAACAATAAAAAAGCAAAAAAAAAAATGGAGCCAGATATTGGGGTGAACGCTGAAAGATCAGAGAAGCAGAACAAGCCACAGCCAACCTCTCCTGGACAACTCCTAATCCAATCCTGTTTCCACAAATCCTCAGACTGAAAGTTCTGAGTTCTCACCTGAATGGATCTCAGCTGAACTGCTGCTCAAAAGTCTAAAAGCTTAAAAGACTCCACTTCCTGGTCCTCACGCCTTATATACCTTTCTGCTTCCTGCCATCACTTCCTGGGATTAAAGGCATGTGTCCTTCTCAAGCAAAGATATGAGGTCTCCAGTGCTGGGATTAAAGATGAGTGCTACTATGCCTGGCTCTGTTTTCAGTGTGGCCTTGAACTCACAGAAATCCAATGGACCTCTGCCTCCGGAATGCTAGGATTAAGCGTGTGTTCTACCATTGCCTAACCTCTATGTTTAATATAGTGGCTTTTCTGTTCTCTGACCCCAGATAAGTTTTACTAAGGTACATAATATATTGGGGGACACAATATATCATCACTGTTCTCAGCTTCCAAACCCAACCACACCAAGACAAACTTCTCAGGTCTCTCACTTGGTTCTTGAAGTATTCATTTCCAAATTGCACATTTTTGTTGTTTCTTTGCTTCTTCTTTCTATTATCAATTAATTATTGATTCCAATGCAAAGAAGGATTTGGCTCTTTTTACATCCACTCTCTAAGCCCATGTTACTTGTTTGGGTTGGTATATCATTATTACCCATACTAATTTTCTCAACATTAATAATTTTCTATATTTCACCAATTCAATGTCAAAATTTCTGCTACTCATCCAATTGAACTTTTCCACATCCTATCTCTGTTGTGTGCATAAAAGGGGGCCCCACCACTCTGGAAACTGGAGCTCCTTAACTACATGGAATTTTCTTGAATTAATCAATTTTCTACTTTGGAATTCCTAATATGTGGCATCTTGGACCGGTTTATTTTTTAATTCCCATTTATTTCTTATGCTCTGTCCTTTTGCTTTAATTTTCAAATTTTCTTTTGTTCTTTTCACTTCAGCTACCATAACTTAACTTTTGCCAGATCATCTTAGTATCTAAATGGCATCCCATTCTTCTCAAAGACAGTGATGTCTTATCTTCATGAAAATACTAATTTCTCTTTTTGAAGTTTCCTTCTTTTTATAGTCTCTTTTCCCTATGCTACTTTGTCTTCCTCTGGCACTGGTCACTGTTACAACCTTCCTCAGCTTGTCTGTGTCTCCTGACATCCAAGGTACAAAGCAAGTTTGTATATTCTGAGTGTATATATGGGGAGTGGGCAAAGACCTCCATGAACGCCCATGTCAGTATCTTTAGGTTTATCTTCCCTGGAATATTACATGTCCCAGAAGAGTCATCACCAAACATCAACCTAGCAAAATGGGGAGAAAAGGATGTGGGTCTCAACTTCAAGCTTATAAATCATTCATATGGTCTTCACTATGGTACTCCATGTTCTAGACATTGAACATCTTTGTTTTACTTTTTCCAGGAAAAAAAAAGTCCATCAATCTTCTGGCAGTATGAGAAGTTATACATTGGTACTAAGAAGGGAAATTAATCTGAGGCTCTGATTTTATTTTATTTTTTGACATAGGGTCTCATTACATGGCTCAGACTGGTCTCAAACTTCCTAGGTATCTCAAGACTGGTCTTGAGTATTGAACTTGCCACCCCTGGCTTCAGGTTCTAAATCCTGGGATTACTGGAATGTATCACCTTGTTCCTCCCCATCCATCTTCTAACTGCATTGTAGATAGTTGAAACCCCATCCTTACCTTGGTTTTTCATTTCTAGAAGAAACTGTTTCTGCCAACTTTTGTATCTTTAGAGATTTTTTTCTGTGTAAATTCTATTGTTTCTCACCCCTTTCTCCCCTCCACTGGTTTAAGATTTGTTTGTTTAGACTGACAAGTCTCTCATTTACCTATTGGTTTTCCTGGTCCCCAAATCACTTGTGCTCCTGATCCCTCCTCCATGGTAGACATTCACACTCCCTCCTAAAGGTTCTGTTTGTTCAATCCAGTGTACTCATCTTCACAGTCTAGGCAAATATCCTATGCTGAGAGGGCAGTGATCTTATTCTTCTTCAGAATGGTACTGGTTAATCCACACAATTACTTGGAGAATGTTTGCCCATTGGGATGCAGTTTGCCTTAGGGGATTGATGAGCATTGCCTTGTTTTATTGAGAGATGAGAGTTTAGAAGCACCCTGATAGTGCTTCTATGAAATTTAATCTTACCAGATTAGTTTTTAAAATTGTGAGTGAAATGTCTTGATTTCTATGACACACATTCTAGTTAAGACTTACTATTATCTTTATTGCTTAAAATAATGATATAATATACAACATGATAATTATCTGGTTCCCATAATGTTTATAGTTATTGAGAAATGTGTAATGAGTATCTAATGACAAAAGAAACTCTTTTATCTGAAAAATGAAAAGAAATGGATTTCTATATTTATTGCATAAACAGTAATTATGTACCAAATAAGTATCACTTTCCTTTTTCTTTCTCTAGAACTTATGAGAACTTTGTAAAATGATAAGAGATATTTTGACTACAAGATTCCAAATATTGTTGTAAAGTAGAACAAATTGGGAAGATAATAGATTTTAAACTACCCCATTTAGAATCATTATGTGCACCGAGAGCTGAATTTTCATGTGTCTTTTTTTCATCTCTCTTTCTCTCTCTCATTTTAAACAGCTGCAGCTGCTGGTGGCCAATAACTTTGTCAAATATCCTTGGGGGCCCAGAAGCACTCTTCACTTCCCCTTTTAAATGTAGTGAGCTATGACGGGAAGAGCCAGGGGACTAGCATTGGGGAATGGCTGCATTGTGATCTACCACTGATGGGTCATCAAGGCCACAGTCACGACCATCTATCAAGGGATCATCAGCTCTCCTTAAGCAAGAAGAATCTCAGCATATTATGTACTTCTCTGGATTATGATGCTTTCTCTCTTTATTCCCCCACATGTTCTCAAACAGATTGAGTTTAAGTGGGGATATGGTCTAGTGATATAAATTACTGGGTATAATTGATAGGATACTTTTTTAAAGGTCAGTATTTCCTCATATGGACTTTCTTCTCACCTGTCTGTGTAGTTTCTTAAATTGGGAGTAGGGATACAATAGCACCATTTTCCCTCTAAATTTGGAACTATTTGCATGAAATACTCACCGTGATCATTTACTGACTCACTGTTTTGTGTGTATGCTTTTTCTTATGAATTCATTGATATGATAGAGTTGATGTCTTTCTTACCTATATAAATGTCATATAATATTAATTTTAAGAGAATTGGCTCACCTTAAAAATATAACATCCTTCCCCACTTTTTTTGTCTTTCTACCCATCAGCACTCACATATGCCCAGCACCTTTGTATTTATAGCTGGATTCAGTATGATAAGAAAGAAGCCTTTTAGGAGAAATGTTACATGTCATTTGATATTCCCTGCAGTGCTGGCTTAATAATAGTTTATCACCATAAGGAGGCAGGAGGGTCTTAGACAAACCGGACCTTTATGCGTTCAACAAAAGAAGATAGCACAAATGACTGATGTGCAGTCAGTCTCCTCATTTAAGCTCCAGTGATCATCCATGAATTTCCATTGTTGTAGTCTGTGTTTGTTCTTTACTTTTTTGTTGAGATTAGGGAAACATGCCTTTAGTTGGAGCTTTAATTTATAGCCTTGTTTAAACATTATGTTTATCTAAAGTTTGAGTTCACTGAACTCAGTGCTCTCCTCATCTTGGGCTGTAACCTGTAGCTCACACCATCCCTTTCCAGAGCTGAGGCAATCTCCATCCCTGCAGTTGACTTGGGACCTTTGACTTAACTACTCCTCTTCCATCTTCTACTGGATGTGTAATGGTCATACTGTTCTCCAATCCTTGACTCATTTCCTCCAATTGCATTGTCCAGATTATCATGTATTCCCAATCATGTCACTCTCCTAATGGGATTCCTTAGAATGTTGCATCTGTATCCTCACTGTAGCATCTATACCAATTATACCAATTTTCTTGTATTCATGGCTAATCTTTCCTATCTAGACTGTAGCTCTTTAGAAGTAGGGATCATATCTTCTTACTCTGTTATATGTCTCATACAGTGCTGTGCACAAGTGGGCACTGCATAAATGCTTGTTAATTAAATTGAATCAATTTGACTTATAGCAGCTGCATTATGAAGGAAAAAACTTATGTTAGATGCATGGAAAATGTTCCTCTGATGTAAGAAATGGACTAACTCCTGCCAGGCTTTTGTTATCATTAGACTGTAATGCAGATAATTAAATAAAGATAGTGTTGATTTCTACAAGGGTTGTTCATGTACTGTGTGGTAATACAGAGGATCAGTTTATTGTGTCACCAAATTCAGAAGTGAATGTTGCCCTTGCTCTAGATCTACTTCTTAAGAATGAAGAGAAGCTCATTTTTAAGGATGTTCCTTTCCTAAAGTCAGCATACTTTTAGAAACTATTTTAATCTTACAAACATTCAGTCTTTCCATGTATTAAAAATTAACCTCAGGTTTTTAAAGCACACACACACACACACACATTCTCCTGTTTTAAGTTAAGCATTTTAGAAACTGTAATCTTTCAGTCTTCAGAAAGCTACCGAAGCATGACTGAATGACTGACTTCCTTGACAAGGGTCTGGAGCAGCGAATGCTTGATTCAAAGCTGTTCTGAACACTGTTCAATCAGTTGCTTAAACATCTAGAGTTTATTTCTGTATTCTTCCTATGTCTATGGTAAGTAAGCAAAAATCTAGACTAAAAATTTTCTGAGAGGAATAAAAAATCTCTGATAAATATACACAAAATAACTTTATCTGGAGAGCTTTACCCTGCTTGAAAAAAAATAAACTGCACTTCAACACTCTACTTGAATGATTTCCTCTGCTCACAGGGGCATATAATTTAATCGATATCCATGGATTTATGTTAACAAAATGTTCAGTTGAACTGTTTTCTTATTCTAACAGATCCCCCACAAGACTTAGGGCCAGATACGTATACCAAAAGGGTAATACAGCAAGATTCAAATATGAGAGGATTAAGAATGAGTTTGGCTGGTGTTCTTAGTTCTCTGCATGTCTACACTTAAGTTTTTTGAAGACTTTGAGAAAAAAAAAGTTTAGATCACAAAGCATATCTAGTTTCGATTTGCTTCTTCTCTTAACATACCAATGCCATAGAAAGTATTTCAGAATACTTCAATGACTACAAACTACTCAATAATGTTGTAACTTAATTAGTTCTACTATTTCAGAGTTGTAGGTTTAGATTTTAATATTACATGCAAACTTTAAGTTTACATCCTTTTAGAACAGTTTTTTTGTAGAAGCACTGTGTATAGACTTTTAAATCAATGTATTCATATTTCAAGACAGTTTAAATTTATTGCTATATTTATATTACCTCTTATTACTCAAAATATTTGCTCTTTTATAGCATTTATTTTGAAATCACTGAATTTCTCTCATGATGCTGTTTTATTTGTGGCTACATGAAGTGCTCCTTTCAGGAACTATCTGAGTTTCTAAGAGTCTTAAGTTTAGGTCAAGTGGCATCATTTTGGTTACACACCAACTCTCAAGCACTGCTTGAAATCAAGTATTATCTATATTTGCTAACAAAGAAAAATTTCTGTCCGTATAGGCATACTCTTCATACTTTATTGATATGTAAAGCATTTGGTGATAGTTACATTTCTGTCTTAAGTGTAACATCTATTTATTGTTAAACATAACTAGTTCAAAATTATTTCCCCAAATAAGACAGGTAGACTTTCTAACTTTTCTTATGCTGATGTTTTTGTATTGTCACTATTCACAAAGGCCACATTTCTCTGGTGAATATTACCATTCAAAAGAAAACCTTAAGAGTCATGACTGTAATCTTTCTCTCCCCCATGTTGGCAGATATCAGGTAAATTACTTCCAGAACATTCTGTTGGCAAGCCAACAGAAATGATTTAAATTTAAATGAAGTCATAAAGTAATTTATAGCATAACAAATTACTATCTGGTCACCTCAAGTGAATCACAGTGTGTCCAATGTTTTAGTTGAATTCACAGGCTATGCAGGCTCTGGAGGTCCTGATGGGCCATCAGGAAATTTTGCCAAAAAAGAAAACAGGGGGAAATGGCATCCTAAGAGCAGATTGGAATATTCATGCTCTTGGTAAGACTCGGAAGCTGTAATTAAACACAGAGTCTTTGAGAATAATTGACCAGATTTATCAGTTAGTTCATCATGGCTGATACCATTCGGAGAGAAAAAGAGCACTGGATCAGAACCAGGTTTGTCCTGCTGTTTTTAAAATAAAATAAAATTAATTTTGTATGTGTGTGTTTAGGAACGTGCTCCCATTCATATGTGTCTCCTCCACCTTACCTTTTTAGAAAGGGTCTCTCACTAAATCTGGAGCTCACAAATTTGCTGATCAGCTAGTTTCTGGGATTTTCCTGTCTCTGCCTTTCCAGTGCCGGGATTATTGACATGTACTGCTCCACCTACCCAGGCATGTGCCTGCAGAGCCTTTGAACTCAGATTGAAATTCAAGCTGATGTCCTCTGGTTTTGCAACAAGCACTTTACTTATTGAATCATCTCCCCACACCCATGTCTAATTTTGACAGTATAATGTGACATGACACTGTCATCTACAAAATCCATGGTTACACATGAATTATTTTTAGTAGCACAAGTTATTAAAGATAATGCAAAAACTTTTAAAGTAAGTTTATTATGTTTTGTTGGTCACATTAAGAGCTATCCTGTGTTACAGCAGTCCATGAGCCCCAGGTGGGCATATCTGGAGAGCCTCATTATCATAGTCCATTTTGTGAAAGAATTTTTCTTTGTAAACAAAAATATTCTGCACACACAACAGATAACTTTTAAGGGAGTAAGGAGGATGAGCTGAAAAGAAAATTAGATATCATTAATTACTTCAGATATGAGAAAAAACACACCAATTTGTCATAAGAGTATCTGTTGTCGATATCGCTCTGTATAAATAAAACACTGATTGTCCAGTAGCCAGGCAGGAAGTACGGGATAGGCAGGACAAATAGAGAGGAGAGGCTGGGAGGTGGGAGTCTGGAGGAGATGCCAGCCTACCGTCCAGGGAGCAGCATGTAAAGGCAACAGGTAAAGCCATGGAGCATGTGGCGACATATAGATTAACAGATATGGGCTGAGTATAAGAGTAAGAGCTAGTCAATGGTATGCCTGAGCTAATGGATGAGCAGTTTAAATAATATAAGCATCTGTATGTTTATTTTATAAGTGGGCTATAGGACTGTTGGGGCTTGGTGGGATCCAGAGAGAAAAACTCGAGCCACAATATCAGTAGCTATTTTGAAGATTTAATCTTTAGAAGTAAAGTTCTAAATGTATAATTTCCATTAGGATTGGGTGGAATGTGCTGCTACCATATAGACAGCAATATGTGACACTATGGTGGTATATTGCCCTTACAGTTTTCTAGATGGTCCACAGGTCTGAAAAACTATGAATTCAAGTGTTCTGGACGTAGATGCCATGCAAACTTAGCTGCCATGTCTTCATTTGGCATAGAATAGCTCCTCCATATATGACTGCTCCCTATGGGCTTGGGGTAAGGGATGAGCTGCAGTGTTTGCAGAAAACACACCCATGAGCAGTGGCAGAAGCTTTATGTTGTTCAATGCTGCAGGCCAGAAGATGACAGATGCTCAGTTTGTTCCTTATTGCTTATTTCTTCCTTCATCAGTCATGCCTTGCTTCTGTTTTCATTACATTCTTATATTCATCTTGTTTGCATTTTTGCATGTGTGTGGGCATGTGCATGCCATAGCTTATATATGTGGGTCAGAGGACAATTATCCAAAGTTACTGCTTTCCTTCCACCATGTGGGGCCCAGGGATGGAACTCAGATTGGTAGATCTAGCAGCAGATGCCTTTATCAAATGAACCTTCCCTCTGGCTCATTTTTTAAATAATGCATTAATCTATCAAATGTTTGCCAATATGGGAATGCTCATGTTAAATACAAAAGCAGGCAAGGATAACCTATATTGTGTGATTTTAAGGAAATCACTGAATATTTCTGTCTTAGTTAGGGTTTCATTGATGTGATGAAACACCAAGATCCAAATCAACTTGGGTAGGAAAGGGCTTGTTTCACTTACACTTACGCAACACAGTTCATCATTACAGGAGTCAGGGCAGGAACCTGGAGGCAGGAGGTGATGCAGAGGCCATGGAGGGGTTCTGCTCACTGGCTTGCTCTTCATGGCTTGCTCAGCCTGCTTTCTTATAGCACCTACAACCCGTAGCCCAAGGTGACACCACCCACAGTGAGCAGGGCCCTCCCATATCAATCACAGGCTACAGGGTGGAATCCAGGAATGCTAAAATCCTATAAGCTATATTCTTTTTTTCGGGGGATCAGAGTTCTTTTTCCACTTGGATATTGCTTAAAATTGATAATAAAAGTCGATCACGGAGATAGATTCAGTACAAGTTTTCAGAAATCATTTATATGTTAAAGCAGATCAAACTGCACAAGGATAAGACAGATTTTCTGTGGTTTCATTTTGTCAAACGTGGTGAGGATAATTGGAAAAACAGAGCTGAAAAATAAGGCGCTTGGGTCACTGACCTCAGACTTACAAAGTTTATTGGTAATGGAATTCCATCTGTATAAATGGCTACCAAATAGGATAGACCCATCAGCAGATGAAAATGAGCCTCCTGCAAAAGGAACCTTGAGACTCACAACCAATCTTAATGGAACAGAAAACAAGATGAATCTATAGGAAACGTTCATCTCAGGTGAAGCAATAGATCACACCCACTGGGAATATTCCTCCTTTGGACTGTGTTGCAGTTGAGCTGCCACGTGTTCCATCTGCAGACTTAGGTAACTGTGGACAGAAGCATAAATCTGAAGCTGTTGCTAAGACTTGCTTTGCAACTCTCTTCCTGACTTGCCGCTCATCAGCCACTGATTTTTTTATATTATCAATAGCCTCTTGACCTGGGCTTATTTCCCTCATTAAGTAAACTTCAATCACATCATCTTTAGG